AAAAGAGAATGGTGAATTTGGAAGAAATTCTTATATTCATTGAGATGGACTTATATATGACATGAGAGATGAATCCATATTATTATCAAACATAATTTAATGAGACTGTAAAAGAAACTAAGTTGCAATTGATTGACCAAAATGAATTTATGCTTTATATAGTTTTTTCCACAATATGCTTTTGTAGGGTATGTCTTTTTTGTAGGGTATATACTTTTGTAGGGTGTATTACTGCTGTGCATTGGGTCGTTATGAGTCAGAGGTGACTTGACAGCACATAACAATAACAACAGGGTATATGTCACATATAGATACATATTCAAAAATCCTAATATGTTTATATACATTCACAAATCATAAGTACACTGTTTAATGAAACTTCACAGTGTGAACAGTTTTGTGTAATCACTGCCATGGTAAGAAAGAAAACATTGTCAGTTCCCAGAACTAAACAACTGCTTCTTCCCAGTCATTAACCCAACTATTCCCCAATGTCACTCCTAAGCTGATTTTTAACATTGTCAATTAGTTTTGTCAATTTTTGAACTTTAGAAAAAGAGAACCGTGGATAACAATCTCTTTTGTTTTTTTACTTCTGTGTCATTACAAAATATCACTATATGTGTAGGTCTGTGTCTGAATACTTACTTCTATTCCATTGGACAGTCTGTCTCCACTTACACTGACCCCACAGACATCCAGTAATGCAAGTCCTCACATTGGTTATTCTTCACGTTAACTGCCATTTTTCTAGGTCTTTGACATATCAAATTTACAATAAAAATTTATAAATTGCCTTTTCAAAAACATATTTAAATTTTGATTTTGATTATATTAAATTATGTCAATCTGTGAAGAATTGGTATCATTGCAGTACTGAGACTTTAAATCTTTGAACATAATATAGCTTTCTATTTTCTTTTATTTCTTTCAACGAATTGTAGATTTTTCAGTGTAAAAAGCTTAAGCATAATTTTCTTAAATATTTGATGTTTTGATGATATTACAAATGGTATATTTTATCATTTAATGTTTCAGCCTTTGTTGCAGGTATATAAAAATCAAATTGACTTCTGCATATTGACTTTGAATCCAGTGATTTGTTATTTCTCTTATTAATTCTAATAGTTTCTCTTTAGGTTAATTTGAATCTCCTCTGCATGCAATTCTTTCTTCTGTGAGTTATGATAGTTAATCCATTCCAATTCATGATCTTTGTTGTTATTGTTGTCTTTGCCTTATTTCACTGGCCAGGAGGTATCTGTTTAGAGTCTTCCACTTCTAAGAATCTGATCCAAAGTCAAAGGTAGTAGAATTGTCCCTGGTTCTGCCTGTGCACCTAAGTCTGAGGAAAAATCTGAGAATCAAAACAGAAATCTTGCTAGGGAACTATGTTTCAGAACCTCAGGTTTTCTAAGTAGAGGTAGAGATGCTAAAACTGAGCAGTCCCCACAGAATCTCTAACAAGAATGAAATCACAGAACCAGGCTCTCCTGCTTCCAACGCCTTTATCCCAAATATCTAAAAATTTTGGAACTCATAAGCTCATACTGAAGCCTCTTGTTCATGATAGGAAAAGTAGAAGACTCAGGATAATGCAGGGTTTCCTTAGGCCAGTGACCCTCAAATTTTCTTGGATAAAAGAAAACCTGATCATGACCTTACAAGTTAATTTCTTCACTTGCAAGTGGGTAGAATCCATATTTGACAAAATACTGCACTAGGGGATACGCTTCTTAATGTGACATACTACATAGATCCTAGAGAACAAGCTTGAAGAAATTATACAGGAATACCCCAAAGTCATAATTTTTCCTTATTTCAAATCATGGACTAATTATTGGAAAAGAAGTAAAATGATTTTAAAAGATGAATAAGGACAACATTAAAAAGAAAATAGCAAGCTGACATTCTAACCTTTCATAGGGCAAATTTTGAAAATGTGCGAGGGGAGGAAAATATACTGAAATGGTCTGGGTTAGCATGATTGAAAATCTGAGGGATTTAGTATAGATCCAAGCAGGATATTTATGTTTTAAGGCTTGTGAACATGTTAGTAAAAAGAGAGCCTTAGAGCCAAACGAGGAGATCTGATGGCATAGTGGGTAAGGCATATGGTTGCTAACCAGGTCAGCAGTTCAAACCCATGAGCTACTCAGTGGGAGGAAGATGAGGGAATCTACTCTGGTAAAAATTTACAGCCTCAGAAACCCAATGGGGGTTGCTATGAGTGAGAATCAATTCTATGGCAGTGGGTTTGTTTGTTTGTTTTTATGGTTTAGAGCTTAATGTGGCTGTGGATGAAACACACATAAATTGGAGGTTGTTTTCCAAGAGTCTCTGCTAACTTATTCAGTTTATTTATATAAGGAGAAAAGATCACTTCAAGATCATGAAGTTAAGCTGTTTAGAGGTACAGCTCATGCTTTAAAACGACTCTGCTCTCCACAGATTTTACCATTTCTATCTGCTGACTATGATCACACAGCAATGTGCCAGAAGCCCAGCAGACCTCTCACCATCTGAGTCATTACCTGTGAGTAGGCCTTCAGGATCTGCTGCTGGCCTCCTCCTCCTCCTTCTTCTTCTTCTCCTCAGATTTGGAGGAAGCTTATAAACACCCATCTCATCCTCTCTCTCTCCAAAAATCTTCCATTTGCTCTCACTCAAGAATCATATAGGTTTATTCTTAATAAAGTTGAAATTCAAGTTTCTAATTTTTTTTACCTAGCATGAATGTTGTTGCTGAGTAATGTGGGAGATGCAAGGGTAATTCACACTTCTAAATACACAAAATATTGTGTATGTATGTATGTGTTTAATATAAAATTAAAGGTAAAGAAAACCCTTCATGTTGACAGAAGAAAAACATAATTATGAAGTTCAGGAACAGGTAAAATCAATCAATATTTATAGGAAGCAGAACAGTGGTTGCCTTTGGTGTTGGTGGGTGGAATGTGGAATTGATAGAGAAGCATGAGGAAGCCTTTTGGGATGCTAGAGTATATCATGATTGAGTAGTGGCTACAGGCGGTATGCATATGTTTACATTCATCTAGTTTCTGAAACAAAAACCAAAAACCAAACAAAAACAAAACCCCAAAAAAACAAAAATCACTGCCCTGGTAATGTAGTGGTTACATGCTCAACTGCTAACCAAAAAAATCAGTGGTCTCATCCCAGCACTGATGGCAAGGTTCAATGAGACAGAAAATAACAAATGTTGGTGGGGATGTGGAGAGATTGACACTTTCATACACTGCTGGTGGGACTGGAAGTGACACAACCACTGTGGAAAGCAGGCAAATTCAATTCCGTAGAAAACTGGAAGTGGAGATACCATTTGACCCAGCAATCCCATTACTAGGTATATAGCCTAGAGAGGTGAGAACCAGGACAGGAACAGATATATGCACATCCATGTTCATTGCAGCACTATTTACCATAGCAAAAAGATGGAAACAACCTACATGCCCATCAGAGGAAGAGTGGATGACCAAGCTATGGTACATACACATAATGGAATGCTGTGCAGCACTAAAGAATAATGCAGAGTCTGCAAAACACCATATAACATGGATGAACTTGGAGGACACTATGCCGAGTGAAATAAGGACAAATATAGTATTAGTTCGTTGTTGTGGAGGGTCAAGGAAAGGTTATATATGGAAAGAAACTTCTTTGTTGGTTGTTAGGGATGGGAGGGTAGGGGGAGAACACTGCAAAAAAAAAAAATGCATTGACCCATGTCACTTTAGTTTTATGTATTTTGCTGTATATGAATTATATTTCAATAAAATGTATTTAAAGAAAAAAAGTTGAAGGTTGGAACCCACCAGCAGCTCCGCAGGAGAAAGATTTGGTAATTTGCTTCTATAAAGATTTAAAAAAACCCAAAGGGAGCTCTGGCGGTGTAGTGCCTAAGTCATTTGACTGCTAACCAGAAGGCTGGTGGTTCAAACTCACCAGCCACTTCTTGGAATGAAGATTGGACAATCTATTTCCATAGTGATACCACCTCGGAAACCCAAGGAGGGGTCACTATAAAGATTACAGCCTTGCAAACACTATAAGGCAGTCCTACTCTGTCTTACATGGTTGCTGTGAATCATGATCCACTTGGCAATAGGTTTTTGTTAGTTTTTATTTTGTGCACTTTAGATTGGTACGCTTCATTGTATTCAAGTTACATCTAAGTAATAATAAGAGTAATAATAATAATTAACTGAAGAGAAGGAATTATGGAGTCAGAGTACTGGAGTCTGTTTCCATCTTCTTTGCTTATAAGCACAGGTACCTTGACCAACCAAACCTCTGATTTCTCATCTATAGGTGATTATTCTGGTGGTCCCCCCACCCGCCTCATGCTGGAAAAGTTCTAATGCACCATCTATTGATGTTTTCACAAGGCCAGAGGGTTTACTCTCTTGTTCCAGAACACACAATATGATAAAGGCAAACTGTAGACTGGAAGTCAGTTCTCTGGTTTATCTCACAGTTCAATGCTCCTTCCTATAGGTGATTATTTTGGATTGATCAAAGAAGGTAATTAAACTCTTAGTACAGTGTTCAACACATTAAGACTTCAACTCTTCAGTAAATGACACTTAAATGATTTAAATGACACTTGTAGTAGTTGTTGCTGCTGCTGTTCTCATTTTGTCAAATATAGGCCCCCTTTTTGTTGCTTTTGCCTAATTCTTTGCCTTTAAAAACACTGCCACTCTGAGAAGTGATTCAGACTCTCCCTTGTTGTGAACAGTGTTTTGTAATACTGACACACAGATCTGCTTCGGAGAATTAATTAAAGGTTTAGGGGTCTTGTGATATCAAAAAAGTAAGCGTTCAAGGGACTAAAGTCCCTTCCAGGCCACTACACTTGAATTCTGTAAATCCTTCCTCAAAATAGACCTTGTGCCTCTGAACAGACCACAGGGGAGAGTGCAGCTGCTGGAACCACCAACCTTCACCACACAACAGCTTAGGAGGACGGTTTATGTTCAGAGGTGTAACACTGTGCAAGGAAATTTATAGTCCTGTTGGCAGTAATAATTAGCAGCATCATCAGCCTCTACGTTGCTGACTGTGAGAATAAATTCTTTGCCAGACTGTATTCCACTGAACCTAGCTGGTGCAGCAGAATATCGGTTATCTGCGTCATAGATGAGAATCTTAGGAGGCTGGCCTGGTTTCTTCTGATACCATGTTAAGTAATCACTAACGTCCTCATTGGCCCTGCAGATAATGGATATGCTCTCTCTTAGAGGTACGGTGAGGACGGTTGGAGACTGGGTCAGAACAACTTCCCCACTGGCAGCTGAGAATGAAACAAAACACAAAATCACCATTGTTAACTAGGTCTTACACCATATTCCTCCCAGCATATCCTACCTTCCCTGGTCCCCCAACCTGAGAGCACTTGGATCTCTGAAGGGATGTTATGGGGGTGAGACTCATGGAAACCATGGAGAAGATCTCATAACTAGGAGAAGAGATGTCTCATTATCTCTGGGTTCCAAAGGTTCCCATCCTTACCTGGGAACCAGAACGGCAGAAGGCAGATGAGTTGAGCAAGAGTGCTCATGTTCAATCTACTCTTGTCTGAGGCTTTCTTTTGCCCAGAGTCACTGAGCAGCCTATTCATGAGGACTCTGAAGAGCAGAAATGGGCTCTGGGGAAAACATGCAAATCAATGAGGGGTTGGACAGGTCTGGCCTTCCAGCTGCAAAGCGGATACTCCGGTAGGCTCAGTTCCTCTTAGGTCCACATCAGATGTGGGTTTCACATGCAGTCCCAGCATACAGTGTTTCTCCACAGGTTTGTAAGAGAAAATCCTCTCTAATTTATTTGCTCCCCATTTGTCCTCTGGGTCCTTGATTTTTTTTCATTAGAATAGGGGATCCTCCTAAGAATGGGGAAATAAATTGGATGAACTTACCAGAATTAAACTTTAATATGAACATATAGTTTTCCCTCTAGAATTGTGTCTCACCTCCTTTGGTCATGTTACCAGAAGGGATCAGTCCCTGGAGAAGGCTATCATGCTTGGTAAACAGGAGGGTCAGCAAAAAGGGGAAGACCCTCAATGAGATGGATTTACACAGTAGCTGCAACGATGGGCTCAGGTATAGCAAGGGTTGTGAGGATGGTGCAGGACAAGTCAATGTCTCGTTCTGTTGTACATAGAGTCACTATGTTTCAGAATCAACTTGACAGCACCTAACAACAATAAAACATAGAATTGTGTGAAGAATCATTATTCAGGGGCAAGTATGAAATATTGAACTGTATCATGATATGTTACTGAGAACAGATATTGGTGATTGTGTTGAGTGAATTGTGTCTCCTAAAAAGATAAATCCAAGTCCTACCTCCACTCCTGTGAATGTGAACTTATTTGGAAATAGTCTTTACAGATGTAAGTATTTAAATGAGGTCTTACTGGAGTGGTGTGGACACTAATCCAATAGGACTGGTGTTCTTTTTAGACGAGACCCAGACACATTGGCAAGATGACCATATAGTGACAGAGGCAGAGACTGGAGTTATGCTGTCACAAACTACAAGATGTCAAGGGTTGTCAGTAACTGCCAGAAGCAAGGAAAAGACAAGGAAGAATCCTCTGCTTCCATCTTCAGAGAGAGCACAGGCCTGCTAACTCTTTGATTTTTAACTTCTAACATCTAGAACTATGACAGAATAAATTTTTCTATTATTTTAAGCCATACAGTTGTGATAATTTGCTACCATAGTCTTAAGAAAATAATACAGTGAGCCATGGAAAAAGGAGGAGAAAGAGAAAATATCTTTGGTGCAAATCTATATAACATCTTTTTGTGCACTGTTCAGTAGAGAAGAATCAAAGGTTATTGCAGTATATTTCCATGGTGAGTATCATTCATTATTTTGGAGATTAATTTTCTGTATTAAATTTCTTTCATTTTCTATACTATTTTCTAATGCTCATCACTACCTTTCTCTCATTGTATTGTTATGCCTGAAGTAACTTTATCTTCCAATTTGCCTGATATAGTCCCATTGTGATCATTATTGCACCCTTTTCTTACTCTCACAAGGGTCTCAGTGTGGATCACAAGTTATATGGTCACCTTATATTCTAATTCTTCCCATTATCAGTACTAAGATATTTTAAACTTAAAATTAATAATGAGTGCTAAATTTTATCAAATATCTTTATCTCATCATTCATGTGATTGAACATGTTTTCTTCTGAAACCATTGTTATGGGTGGTTTCATTTAAGTGTAATTATCTCTATAAATTAAAAGTGCTAAGACATAGCAAGAAGTGTCAAGCTGACACAAAATGAAAAAAAAAAATCTGTTGAGTCTTATATCACACCTGAAAGGTATGATATTAAGCACATATAGATAACAGGAAGATCTATAGACTGTAAGAAGAAGCCCTATTGGTGCAGTGCTTAAAGTATTTGGCTGCTAACCAAAAGGTGGGCAGCTTGAACCCACTAGCCACTCTATGGAAGAAAGATGTGGCAACCTGCTTCCATAAAGATTTACAGCCTTGGAAACCCTATTGGCCAGTTCTACCTTGTCATATAGGGTCACTATGAGTCAGAATCAACTTGAGGGCAGTGAGTTTAGGCTGCAATAATTTAACTTTTAAAAGTAACAATATTATCTCAATTTATGCTCTTTAGACTTTTGAGTTAGATGAATATTTTCAGATAAGACCACCCATTGATAGGTTACTTGGAAACAAGGATTACAAAGAAAATTCCTCTAGCCAAAACATTTACTTAAGATGAAGAATTTTCCCCCCAACAAAGACATATAAGAACTTTTTTTTTTTTTTCTATTTAAAGGCACATGGTTAAAACTCACCCAGAGTTAACTTCCAATTCATGCAAAATTAAATTTGGGCACTTTTGTAAGATGGTAAGAATTTAAAAATATAATTATTACCAATGTCATCACCTAGAAAACCACATACACTAAAGATTTTAGAAACTTGAGAAACTGTCAAGGTGAAAGTATAAATAAAAATTGTGTGCATTTGCATTGGAGATGTTTGGGATTAAATATTCTTCTATAGGTTGATTTGGAGATATTAACTCTTGCCACTTGTCATGCCCTGGGTAGTCACTGCCCTGTTAGCCTGGGCCCCAGATCCTATACAATCCATATCTGGACATAAACTTAGTAGGCTTATAGCAGAACCAACCAGCTAAACCTTCCTGGATCAGTCAAATCATTGTTGACACAAATATTTGCGAATATGGAAATAAATTCTTAGTGTTGTAGACCACCAAATTTCTCTGTGGTTTGTTAAAAGCCATTTTGTGCAAAAGCAGAGAAATACATATTTACACACTGCACATATGATAAATCTTATTAAAACTGATTGCAGAAATATGAGTAATTAGAAATGTATTCAAAAAGACATATAAAACCTTATGGGAAATAAAAGAGTAAATTATATTTACATTAAAAAAGTAAAGTTTGCTGGAAAATGGCATCTCTCCTGCAGCACACACCCTAGATCCCTCTAGCATCTTAGTGCCTGAAAAACCATATGCTACTGTTTGAAATGGGGATCCTGGTGCTCTGAACAGCTCATTAAGTCAGAGTACACCAAACAGGTGAACCTGCCCTGCAGAGCACTGACTGGCAGGCCAGACAGGGCATCAGAGGACTCCCAGGGCAGTGGAGAGAATGCACTGCACCGTAGAACCTGTGGCCACTCCAAGGATCTACCTTCAGCACCTGCTTTTATCAGTAAACTTAGGACTGCTGGGAGGGAACAGAGACCCTCTGGCTCTAGGTGCCACTGAAGCAGGAGCAGAGAGGACAATGATGCTGCAAGAGGGTGGTCCCTGGAACAAACTACTGTCACAGATCAGGGCAGTTATCTTAGGTCAGTTTTTGGCATGGAGGGGGCTGGAGAGTGGGTTTTTGCGGCTGTCTGAACCTGGTGGAAAGGGGCGCCCCCCTAACAATTTGAGTCTTTGCTGAACTTGTGCTGTTGGCCTGTGAATAAGAGTATAACGTCATCATTAAGAGCCTGCTCAAAGCTGTAGAAATGGCTCATGGCATCTTGGAGCTTTTTTTTCCCCTTATCTTTTTTTCCTCCTTTTTCTGCCTCTCCCATGCCTCATCCAATAGAAAAAACACTTGAAGACACCATAATAATTGCCAGCTCAACTCTAAACTCCCTTTATGACAGAGACCTGCATCCACATACCACACAGTGATTCTGTCTTCACAAAGATTGCAGAGCAACCCAGCACACCTGAATTAATAACAAAATAGCAAAATACATCAGCTCTACATTTCCCAAAATATTAAATTATACAGCCAAAACAAAACAAAAAAAATCAATACATAACTAACAGCTAAAGACAACTTCAAAATGTCTAGGAAACAACAGGCAATCTCAAGTCAAACAAACAAACAAAAAAAAAAGCAGGATAAGACAATAGAAGTAAAATCCCAAACAAAAGTTTCATTAAACATGGAAGAAGAGCAGGCAATAGAATTATCTGAGAAGGAATTTAGAAGGTATGTTTATAGAACTGCACAAGAGCTTAAGGAAACCCCAAACAGAAACAAGGTGAACACAGACATTACCCTGGAAGAGCTCAGGAAAACCATTCAAGAACAAAACAACAAGATTAATGCACAATCAGGACTCATACAAAAACAGCAGTTAGAAATCCAGAAGATGAATACCAAAATTACAGAATTGCACAACACAGTGGAAGCACAAAAGAATGGGATAGAATTGGCTGAAGAATGCATTTCTCAACTAGAAAACAAATCGCTGGACACTAGTCTGTATGAAGAAAAAACAGAACAAAGATTTAAGAGAAATGAAGAAAACCTAAGAGTTATATGGGTCAACATGAAAAGAAACAACATACACCTCATTGGAATTCTAGAACAAGAAGAGGCAAAAATAACCACTGAGAAAATTGTGGAAGACCTACTAACAAGAAACTTTCCCCAGATCATGAAGGAAGAAAAGAAATTTGTCCAAGAAGTTCAAAGAACCCTATACAGGATAGATCCCAAGAGAAAAACACCAAGGCATATCATAATCAATCTCTCTAAAACCAAAGACAAAGAAAGAATCTTGTGAGCTGCCCACAACAAAAGAAATATTACTTATAACAATCAAACAGTTAGGCTGCGTTCTGATTACCCAGCAGAAACCATGCAAGCAAGAAAGCAATGGAATGACATATATAAAACCCCGAAGGAACTTCCAACCAAGAATATATATCCAGCCACAATGTCCACCAAGTATGAGGGCAAAATCAAGATATTCTCAGACAAACAGAAATTAAGGGATTTTGTGAAAATCAGACCAACCTTACAAGACATGCTAAAAGGAAGTCCTTCCAATAGAGAACTCACAACAGAGAACAACAAAATCAGGACACATGACATCAACACTAAAACCAAATCAGAAACAAATGCTCAAAATATGACCATAAAACATTCTACACTAAAAATCAAGGAAGTCAATCTGCACATGACAACTGCAACTAACCAAATAGAGGGAAAAAAGTTCTAGGTACAAACTTCCAAATTGAGAGGAAAACAGGACAATGTCCTCATAGAACAGACTATTCCAAAAATATAGAGACAAGAATTCACTCCAAGGTAACCACAGAGAAAATTATCAATCTCCCTAAGCAAATCCAGAAGGAAGGAAAACATATGGGTTCAATAAGCACAAAACCAATAATAAAGAAGAAAAGAGTGGAAACACTTGAAAATGAAATGAGCTCAGCACAGAAAGGTATGTGGACCAAGGAAACTCCAACAACATGACAAAAAACACAGTAGAATGACAGCAATCAATTCATACCTATGACTAATTACACTCAATGGGAATGGACTAAGTGCCCCAATCAAAAGAAAGAGAGCAGCAGACTGGATAAGAAAAGACCTATCCATATGCTGCCTACAAGAGACCCACCTTAGACACAAAGATAAAAACAAATCAAAACTTAAGGGGTG